TTCACGAAGGCCTTGCTTCAAGGATGGGGTGCATATAACAAAAGTCAGGAATTTCAGGGTCAATGCATGGATGAAGAGGATTCCCTACACAATGTTTTCATCCTTCTTGATCTTCAATAGGCAGTGTCTCATGGTCTGGGCTTATTAAGGTATAAATAGTCTGGCTTCACTCTGACAATTCCATGGTGGTGTCTTATGTTTCTCATCAAGGAGGCAAGTGGTCTAGGGATCCATGTTTTAGAATTTTCTGACAATTCCATGGTGGTGTCTTATGTTTCTCATCAAGGAGGCACGTGGTCTAGTGATCCATGTTTTCGAATTTTAGACCTTCTTTTCTGTCATATCTCTCTGCTAGCTTGCCACGTTCCATGGGGATGCCTGTGGTAGCAGGTCAATTGTCTCAATCCAAGCAAATTCTCCTGACAGAATACATGTTATATCACAAAATTCTCTTGGATTGACTCTCATTTTGCCACTCATTGGTGGGTTGGCCTCTCATTGGATCACCCAGCTACTGGTAATTTGGTTTCCATTAACTCATCTTTGGACTTTGGCAATAGATGCATTCAATCAGCACAGGATGATATTACAACTCTGAGCCTTCTCTCTACTTTATATGTTACACAAGGTGCTAAATATGATTAGTTCCAACTAGTGTTTCCTCTAAGCCATGTGGCTGCGCAGCCGCACAACAAACAATCAAGACCCATGCACTTCATTATTTCAGCTGTGCACATCCTCAGTAATGGCGAGGAGTCTCAACATGTTAATGACCCTGGCAATCGATAGGCCTAAACCCCAAATAACCAACTGGTAGCATTACAAAGCAGCCTAATGATACAATAGGTTGATGGTCTAAAAATACCCCTCCCCCAAAAAAAACTTATAGCACACATCTGCACATTGCCTTGATACTAGTCATTCTATTTCCCTAGCAGCCTGGTCGATTTGCTCGCTGGAGGTCATGGTGCAGACTGGTATGTGAATCTCCCCCAGTACCTTTATCCCACTTTACTTGCATGATCTGCTCGTCTCTTCGTCTGAGGGTTTTTGTCTACCCCCTGTAACTATCTTCACAATTTCTCCTAGACTACCCAAAGGGGCGAGTATTTTTATTTCTAGCTTTCAGGGTCACTTACCTTGTTTTCACAGGATCCCACCATGTGGCGAGGGTTGCCCAGTCTGGTATGTTTTTATCAAACCAATTATGCACTTGGAACCACTAATTGAAGATACTTTGTATAGGTTGTAACAGGCTCTGTAGAAATGAGGTATTCTATAAGACCACCTACAAGCTGATCTGGTGGTATTACTGTTTTGTGATGGACCACCATTCATGGATTCTCGTGAGTAAAGCATAAGGGAATACTGCCCATCCCTGCCAATATTTGGATTGAATAAATCGAGATTAGTTTGCTTTTAAAAATTTAGGTAACTTGGTGCAGCTTTTGCACTGTTTACAAAGCACTGTTCCTCAGGACTCCCCCACTGTGCATTACCCCCCCCCCCCCTCCCAGATTCTACTGGTGAAGCTAGGGAGTCATCCTTACTGCACCTGGTTTCCAGTCATTGGGTTGGTGAACAGAAGCTTTTCCTCCAGAGTGTTAGAGTGAATTCCTCCACTCTTGGAGAAGAGGACAAAGTTGGAGTCCCTCCTACCTGGGTCCCTGGATGTTTTCCCAGATGTGGATAGGAGTGGCAGGAGCCTACTTCTAATACCAGTTCAGATTTGATGCTCGGCTATCAGGTTGGGTGTGCATGGCCCTTCTTTTTTATCACTATCTTTTCGTAATTCCGAATGCAGAGTAGTCCCATCCAGTGTCCTTGGTTGAGCACAGCTGTTTCACGTCCTCCTGATAATTCTGGGGGCAAATGGAATTTACCTTGCCCACTCAGTTGGGGATTGAGGATGATGTTCATAATTCCAGATTGGATGAGTTCTGTTCCTTTGGTTGAGTAAGGCATACATGATTCCATCATTCCGAGTCTGGGTTGTTGTCTTTCAGGCTTTGTCAGGTGAAGGAGAAGGTTAGTCCATTTCGTCTGTTACTTACTTTCTCATCATGATTATGGTGGCTCAAAATGCATCACTCTGTGGCTACAGGTTGGACCTTATTCTGTTGACCTCAGTCAGACATTGTTCATCCAGATGTCACCAGTCTCTTGTGTTCATGCATGGCTTTTGTCAGGTCCATTGTCACAGCCCAAAAACTGACTCCACATGTTACATATTTTCTTTCCTATTCCATTAGACCTTCTGTCCATTAATAACAGGTGATAATATACCTTCCACCTTTGGTCTCTTTGATGTGGTTTCCATCCTTCCCACCCTTCTGTTCCTCATCTTTCCCTATTCTTCACCTGATTGTTTGACAAAGGCTTGTCCACTTTGACCATTTCTAGCTATCAAGCTGGGTTCACGTTCCCAACTTTTTATTCCCTGGAACCTTTCCCTTTCCTGTGCTGTGTCCCCTGCCATGCTTACTGGTTGAGCTTGTCAATTCATTAGACTAACATATTTGGACTTATCCATGGACGTTTGCCATCTTCACAACATTTCTTCTCATCAAATTTGTCACATCACTGTGTCCTTGGCTGCTTGCCTTCGGCATCCTTTGGAAGAGATTGTTCAGGCTGGAATGTGGACTACTTCCAATACCTTTGTTGCTCATTATGTGCATGACCTGGCTGTATCTTCCTCTAGTGGATATTTTCTCCCTCTTGTGGCAATTCTACACATGTCTATTCACCTTTGACTGGGGAAGTCTTATCACAACCTTGTAAAGCTGTGTTCAGTTTGTTTTACATCTTGCTCCTACTGTTGTTTTGGGAATTTGATCGGTTTTGTCCAAAAGCTTACTTCCTCTTTGTAATTCTAGTTGCTTTATGTATGACATTCTGTTTACTTTTGGTTGGGGTTGCTGAGTCTATATAATACCATCCACATGCCCTAGCTTCTGTGTTTATGCTACAATATGTTACAATATATCTTCTTTGATCCCCAACCTCTTAATGCCAAGGGTGTGTTATGAACCTCATCTGTTCAGTTGAGGTTGTATATGTACATATATACTTTTACTTATATTTTATTATAAACTGCATTGGGGTTGCCAAGTCATTATAACACCGCCCACATGCCCTAGCCACTATGTTTATGCTACAATATGTTACAGTATATCTTTTTTTTTATTCCCAACCTCCTAATCCCAAGGACGAATTATGAACTTCATCTGTTAGATACTTCTATTTATATTTTATTATAAACTGCATCTCCCAGATTGAGTTGCATTTGTGCCTATCCTTTTTTCTGCCCATATCAGAATCATTTCCTGCTTTAAGGGCAAAGAGCATACCTGTTCCATAAGTAATGTGGTACCCCACAAGTGTGCTTCATTTTCATTTCGGAGCACACCCATTCATTCTAGGTGATCGCTCTCTGCTTGGTTTCTATGTTATGTGCCTAAACAAGCCCCTTCACCTTTGCAATAAGTGATTCTTGCTTTGTGTAAGTGAAATTAAGACCGTATCAGAAGTTAAAATTTTTCTTGCACTGAAAATGTATTTCCGATAGGTACTTACCTCACACACTTTCCACCCTTTCTCCCCATGGGCAATGTTTTTATTGTAGACCTTGCTAATTTTCAAAAGTGAGGATTGAGCGGGAACAGCAGAAGGAGCTAGCTGCACCAATATAGGGGTTGCAATACTATTGGTGGGTAGTAGTCACATGATATGTACATGTTCAGAAATGGTACAAAATTGACGGGGTATACAGACTGGTGTGCTGATTGCAAAAAGTTTTTAGCTATGCTTAGAGGGCAGATGAAGATCGTGATAGGAGGTAAGTAGCTATAGGAAATAGTGTAAGAAAAATGTTAACTTCTGAGAACTGTATTTGGTCTAAGAATTTACTTTATGGATGAGGAGTAATTTTCACTTGATCTCCAAGTAATATAAGTGCTACATGTACACAGTGCTGTATCTTCATAATATTAATTTCTGCTTAAACTAAACCTTGATCAGTGTTGGTCAATAAAAAATCTCCAGTTGACAGGAAAACTGCTAACATTTTTACCTGCTTGATTAATCTGAACCCCAAGATTGTTTCTTTCATAACATTGTTAAAGTTATTCTCATACAAATTATATTTATAATTCAAATTTTGATAAACTACATGTCTTATCTTACATTTATTATAATTTAAAGCCATTTGCCTTTCATTTGCCCAACTCACCAAATAATCTAAATTTTTTTTATAAAGCAACAGCATTATCTTTGCAACTAGCAACACTCAAGTCCTTAATATCATTAGCAGATTTTAGTAATTTTATTGACCATTCCTCCTCCTATATCATTAATGTAAATCAGAAAAAGCAAAGATCTTAACACTGAGCCTTGAGGTATCATACTTGTGACATGAACCCACTTGGAAGTAGTTGAATCTTGAACTGCTACTTGTTAACAATTGTCTTTCGGGCTAACCATGATATAACTACATCTTTGCTAAACATATTACTGCTATAGATAGACTGTTCCTGCTGGCTGAACATCCACTGTTATACTTCTTGCTGTTATCTCTTGTCTTACTGGCTAACTGTGATATGGCCATACCTTTGTATTTATAGAAATCATTTGACAGATCAATATGTTTTTCTTATGAAAATAAATGGCGTATTCAACAGTTGTGTAGTAGGTTCCTTATAAAGTGACCAGTTATTGTATGTTATTAAATGCTTCTGTAAAGTTTGCTAGGAATAAGGAAATTATGTCATTGTTCATTTTCTGGAGTGTGTATTCAGGATAAATCAACTATAGAAATATAATTCAAATCAAGCTGAGCAAACAAGCTAAAAATAATTTAAGGCTTAAAAGATCATTTTGTTATTATTCTTAATAAGGTTCAAACAGTAGTCTACATTGGCTAGTTTATAACCAAAAGAATGTCTATATTGATATGTAAAAATACAAGTATTATATATTGCTTTTTTGTTTTCGTTAAGAACATGGTGTTGCACTATCTAACAAATGGCACATGCCAGCTAATGTTTGCCTATATGAAAGAGATCTTCTTTATTCCTGTGATGCTACTACTGAAGGCTCTGTGTGATGTTACTGACCATTATATCTACAAAGAAATGATCAAAGGAAAAGAATATGACTCATTTTTCAAAGGGTAAATATGACTCCTGTTTAAAGTATTTATGTTAAACATTTTGTAAAAATGTGCTTTTGTGCCATTTTTTTCATATGCTAAAACAGTGAATATATATCACCATTCTTTATTTAGTCATAAATGTAATGTCTTAGTTTAATACCTAGGTAGAATATTCATTGTACAAATTCTGTGAAACACCAACAATTTACTCTTTAGGTACTTCAATACATATATTTACACTACCAGATATTTTTAATGAAGTGGTATAAAATATTCTTTTTTTTTCTTTAATCCCTCTCTCTTACCTGGATCTATACTTTGGTGAATAAAGTTGATGTTAACTTGTAAATAAAATATGCTACAGTCCCAGCTGTTAATGAAAAGGTTGGTTTGTATTTTCCTACTGAGTTATTCACATTGGGTGAAGAAATTTATGCAGTGGCTATCATGTAAACTTGCTATTAAGTTTGAACTGGCTTTAATTTGTCCATGCCAGAAGTTTCATTGGGTAAGTGAAATGTTCACCAATCCTCCAGTGTTAGTCTCCAATTAATGCTATTCAATAAACTTCACTTATAAAGAATCAAAGTTTCAGTTTAAGTAGTCTAAAATATGTAATTTATTACTTCTGTACAAAAAAAAATACATATACTATGTGTAAATCCTGTTTTATTTTGAGAAACTTTTCTTTTGATATTTCATCACAGATGGAATCCTTTCAAACTTACAGGTTGTTTATAAGTTTTTGTAACCAAATGAATAAATATATAGATTGTTAAGCCTCTTTTTTCACTCATGATATAAGAGTCTTGGAATAATACTATAGGTGGCATTGTTTTATAGCATACAGTTGTGGAAAATCTTAAGTTTGTCTAGACATGTAATGATCATTTTCTTTAAGATATACTGCATTCTTCAATTTATTCACTCAGCTTAATAAATCTGTAGTATGTGTGTTCTTTCAACAAACACTAATAATGTGGATTCTATAAACTGCTAATGTTTTGTTGGTAACAAACCTTTCTGGTTTAGGATACTTCTTTATTGTTACTATCTGCTGCCTAATGCTTTGGCTAATTAAGAAAGTGTGTTTTGTTGGACAACAAACTCTGGTTTAGGCTAGTTTTTTCACTGTTATCCTTTGATACTTCAACTGTTTTGGAAAGTGTTTTGTTAGATAACATACCTCTGGTTTATAGTACTTTACTGTTATCACCTGCTGCCTGATACTTCAACTACTTTGGTAAGTATTTTTATGTATAATGAGCCTTTGTGGTTTAAGGTTCTTCTTTGCTGTTATCATCTGATATGTCAGATGTTTTGGAAAGTGTGTTTTGTTACTGTCATTTGGAATAGTTCCAGAGTATATAAACAGATATTGTAGTGATTTTGAGATCCACTACTTTAATTCTTAAGAATAAAGACAGCATACCAATAATGTTTGTGTAATATGAGTTTGCAAGTTTAAAAAACAAAAATTTAGAAAATTCTTTGAGCAGTTTGTTTTAGCCAAACAGAAGTTTTTTTTAAAGTAGCTTAAGGTAAATACTTAAATTTTCTAACTTCTATTAAGATTCACCTGTCTAAAGAGTAATTCAAAAAATATATAAGTGGCAGAAACTGAAAAAAAAACATCCAAAAACATGTTTGCTTATCATATCAAATCAACAGCTTTAAACAGCAGTTAACTGAAATGTATTGTAATTTTTTTGTACAAGCAAACAATGTTGTATTCATAAATACTTAGATTGTGAAATTGTTGTGATGACTAATTCATAATCTGCATTAAAATTTCTACCTAAAAATTTGTTTTGGAATATCTCTCACATGCTTATTTCAATTTTAACCATCTTAGTTAGTGAGAAGGAAGTCTTGTGATAGTTATTTTATTCATGGCTTTTCCCTTGACTCAAACATCTTGTTTGTTTTGACTTGCTATCAAATATAACTTGCTTTGACAAAGCTGAAACTTCACACATAAACAAATCAAATCCATTGTTCAAGTTGCTGCTGTTTATATGTTTTAGTATTGGTATTGAGGATGCAAAGGAAGCATGTGTTTAATTAATCAACAAAAGTTACCATAAAACTCAAAATAATAATATTTTTTAGCAGTTTATGTTTGTCTCTCACACATCAGCCTTCTTTTATGTAGAGGAGAAAGTGCAAAAGTGTAGTTGGCACCTATGGCTGACAAGTGACTGTTTATTTCATTTCATTAAAGTTCAGATTAACACCTTTTCTATTATTCTTTAAAACAATGCCCATTTGAAGTGTGAGAATTAACAAGTATTACAATTTTCTACATCTTCAAACAGTTTTAACTTGCATATAAATGTTTTGTATAATGACTTTCTCCAAGTAAGTTCTTCACTTTCTAAACTATAAAGCCTGGTCTTATAGTCTATTCTCTATTTCTACTTTGCTGAAATGGTGAGGGATTTGACATTGTAATTTTAGGCTAGTTAGATTTTTTTGAAAAAGAAAATGCAATGTTTAAAGTTAAAGTTAATGGTATGTTTTTCTAAATTAAGATATTAATTTCCTTATAACTTAATCACTAATAAAGTACATAGCTACCCATATCAAAAAGTTTTATTGCATTGTCATGTTTGTTATTGGACTGCAAACCATAACATCAGAATGTTTTAGGTTTAATCTCGTGCCTAAAGTTGAGTTCATTCATGATTATTAAACAGATATTATCTAAACTAGGCTTGTTCCCAAACTTGCATTCATTGACGTACAACCTTTTACATTGTACTTGCATTAAAGTTGTAGCCAATGAATATTAATTGTTCTGTAGTTAGTTTCCTATACAATGATTAATTATTGATGTGTTACTAATATATTAGTTACTAGAGACGAATTATTAACTTGTTTTTATCCTGTGTTTTGGCTAATCTGCTGCTGTTTTTGGGGAATTTCTGCAAATTACTGTTTCTGTGGTGATAATGGCCAGGATTCAGTTCTGTATCTTCTATAGCTATTGTGCTATCTATTTATCTAGGGTCTCTCCAATAAAACTTAATCAACTAACTTAGTTGAATTATTTCAATAGGGCTTTTGAGGTTTTTCTGACTTGTATGCTAGGTTGACTGTGTTATTAGTTAATTGAATTAGTTTATTTTTCTTACGTATGTTTGATACCCCATTATTTCCAATACAGTACTTACCTCTACTTACAAGATTAGCTATTCTCATTCAATGCTGCCCTCTATATGCAAACTCTTTCTTTACACTGACAACTCCTGACACTTTCCTGACAACTCCATGATCTAGGGCTGTGATTTCAGGGATCTTTGCCATCAGTGGGATTCTCCCCATGTGGGTGCCTTTGCTATGGGTCTCAACAACAATTTACCTCTTTTGGTCACTTGTACCTCATCCCAAGCTCTGGCAGTCAATGCCTTCAGCCAGGATTGGTCACACAAGTATTTTTTATTTGTACCCACCCATCCAATTACTTCATCGGGTGATTTATCTCATCCACTCCACTCCTTGTCGGGTCCTCCTGATTGCTCCTTATTGGCCAGCTCAGCCTTGATTTCCATGGTTACAGTGACTGTTCTTCTCTCCTCCTGTCCTTCTTGCACTTTCTTTCTACCTTCTTCATAAATCTTGGTCACATGTCCACAATCCCAACCTTCTTGTCCTGCATCTTTATGCCTGGCTTTTGTCTGGTCTTTGGTGAGAAGATCCGGTTTCACACATCGAGTAGATTCCTTGTTATATGGTTCCATCTGTCCATCTTCCATGGAGGTGTACCAATGCAAGTGGAGGGTATTTTGTTATTAGTCTACAATGTGGGTTTCCCTCTGACCAGCCTGCTGTGGCTCAGGTGGTGGAATTTCTGTCCTGGTTTTTTGGCTATGGGTCTTCAGTCTCCTCGCTTTTGGGATATCGGGTAGCCCTATTTCATACTTTACATTTTTCCTGATACTGTAGAGTTTTTACTTCCCCCTGTCCTTACCATGCTCATGTGTTTTTTCTGGAAATATTGCCCTTCCAGGCAACCTACCCTTCAGGATTGGGATGTTAATGTGGTCCTCCATTCCCTTACTTTTCCTCTTTTTGAAACATTTTCCTCATATTCCATGTTTCATCTTTCCCTTAAAACATATTTTCTTCTTCTCTTAGCCTGTGCACGTCAATGGTCTGATTTGTCTGCCATTTACATTTCACGTACCCTTTATCACCTATCTTCTCCTTTATCCAGATCAATCCTTTCTCCCAAAGACCTCAGCAGCTCTGGAGGGTGGTTCCTCATTTCCCCCTATTTCCCTTCCTTCCATTTCCCATCTTTACCCTCGACCGAATCCAGATAGTCCTCTGTGCCAAGTCAGGGCTCTTCATTGTTATATTGCCCATACTGCTTCCCTCTGGGGGTACACGTTTCCAACTCTTTATCCCCTAGTAATCCTGTTCTCTTTGTGGTATTTCACCTTTTAACCTTACCAGTTGATTTGATTGGCCTATTCCTCCATACCATCTTCTTCCCGGAATTTGTTCCAGGTGTCTTCCCAACAGATCTGACACCTCACTTTTTTCCCTTGCTTCTCGTTCTCGTTGTCCAGTGGAGGAGTTTTTGTGATGCGGCATGTGGACCACACCCAGTATGTTCATCTCCCACAATCTCCATCATACCACGGTTTCCTCTTTATTGGGGTTTTGTCTACCACCTGTGGCCGTTCTTTGGTGCGACTTTAACTGGTAAGTTTTTATTCATACTATCCATTCTTTTCAGGGGCCTTTTCTCTATTTCTTTATCCCATGGATCCCACTTTGTGGCAAGTGGTACCTGACCTGATATTCTTTAACTATAAATCTGCACTGTCCAGCCATATTGACTCATGCTTTATCTTCCATGGCTTTGCACACTCACCGTTGAGTAGGGATGCTCCACAAGATTGCTTGTAGGTGCATGACCTAGTGATATTTTGCTTCATAAACATGCCCATCCCTGTCATGCCCCAGAGAATAACTCGGTATGGTCTGCCTTTCAAAATAAGGTTTTT